GCTAAGTACCACAGCATTTCAACTGGTTTAAAAGCTCTTTGCCTCTGTTCAAATTTCAATTACACTGGTAGGTACTAAATGGAATTGCAATTGCGTTGCAGTGCAGAGATTCCTCGACGCAATATTATCATAACATTACTATTAAAACGGTAGCCGTCTACCGACGGCACACAAAGTTATAATTGAACGACGTATTATATTATTATTTTAGTGGTATTATGATAATACATGCGTTCGGCTTGGCGGTGATATTTTATCAATATAATCTAGTTAAATCATGCGAAAACAATAGCAGTGGAGATTTTCTATCGAAAACATTGTGTGTGTGTGTGTGTGTGACCGAAGAGGCGTTTTTACATTCGGCCAACAAAGTTTGCGGGTCATTGCAGTAAAGCGCATTACAAAAGTTTGTTAAGTTTCAACGCGGCGCTTTCCTCATACAAATCCTATTTGGTTAATGATGGGAATTTTGAAATAATTCTAAACGAGTCCAAATTAAAACCGTCAAAGTGTTAACCGTAATCATCTGTTTAAAAAGGATTCGCCAGAAGTATTATATTCTTTTGGGGGGTTTCTTAGTGGTTAATTCGAATAAATGGTTATTCGAATAAACTATGGTTTTTTTTTATCTTAATATCCACCCCCCCCCCCCCCCATAGTCCTACACCGGAATTATAATTGAATTTATTTAAAGTATTTTCGTCATAAACGTCGTGGTTTTTGTTTTTACGTCAAATATTATGAAATTTAAGAACCTTTAATTTAGGGTTATTACGATTTGACTTTTGACCAAAATTATAAATTGCAACGGCAAATGGAAAATCAATTTTAGAAATATAATTGTGGAACGTCTACTGTTCATGAATGTCACGTTTTTTCTAATTAAACAAACAATAAACATTTTCGAATAAAAATAATATTTTAATATGATGGACTAAACTTAATTATCTTGGGAGTTTTTAAGTACAACCATCGTATCAAAAAAAAAAAGCAAATATTAAGTGACTTATAAAAGTGTTCACCTAAACTCGGTTGGTTTTGTTTGTTTAAATGAGAACTCTACAAAAATAAAAGGTACAAATTGTTCAAAAGAACTATTCAGCAGTTTTACACAAATACATTATTCAAATATGATAATTCTAGGTTAAAACTTTTTTAACAACTTTTAAAAGTATGCACCATGCTATACTATGAGAATGTATACACATTGAATAAAGTACCAACACTCCTTTTAATGATTAGCATGCATTTAAACATTGCCCTTAAGCTTAACTACCTTTTTATACGATTTAAAACGTTGCAATGAACCTATAGTAGGTAAGTAGTTATTTTACTACCTATCTAAAAATGTTTTTATCTTCTCCATTTTTAGCTACTAATAGCAAAACTTTTATTGCCAAAACTACTTTCGAAAAAGTGAAATAAAGAATAAAGAACGATTTAACTTTTAAATGTTTGGCCCAATAAAGTAATATGCGGGTATGATTTCTTAACTAAAGACTTGCTACATTAAGCAATCGGTTAAGCGTTTTAGGAAATATCCGTGGATGCACGTACAAAAAAAACTGTAAAAAAACACAAATCATTGCAAAAGCATATAAGCTTACAATTTTATAATAAATAATAGAATACCTAATAAGTATTAACTAAAAGATAATTTTCAGTTGGATAAAAAGTTACTCAAAAAATGCCCAACTCTAATATAGTGATGAAAATGTTGACTGGCACTCGATAATTTTAAAACATAATATTTTACATTTTATAATCATAGAAGTATCTAGAAATTGTTATTAATTAACTTTAAGTTTATAGGCCAAAAGTAAATGTATTTACAATCAAAGTACTATAAGAAGAATTTGAAATAACTTAAGTGTAGCTTTACTGTTGTAAAAAAATGTTGAAAATCAATTCGTTTGGAAACAATTTATTAACGATAGATATAATTTTTATAAAATTATTATAATTATTATTTCAGCAAAACGATGTGCTCGATTTTCTAAATACATAATATATCCTTATTTTTCTTTTCTCCTAACTATTTAAGGTTGGTCGAAAATAATGAATATGTAGGTAGTTATTTTATTCTATTGAAATAATCAATACAATAGAATTATATTATTAAAGAAAAATAATGGTTTTTTCCCCGTTCAATAAGTACTTAATGTAGTTAATTTTGCTATAACAGAAATAAAATATAAATAAGAATACACTAGAACATCGTCTTAAGTGCCAACGTCACTCTTTGTACTGAAAATAACAATAATCGTAAAATCTCGACATTTTTGTACTGTTCTGTTGTGTATTTCGATTCATGCGAAACTTACTAGTGAAAAACCACAGACTTCTCTCGCCCACGACACACATACTACTATACCTACATATTATACTGCAGTGACAACTGCAACCATTCCAAATAAACACTCCCAATAGGCCGTCGTATCGGTTGCAATACCGTTGCGGGTTCAGATTGAAACAATTCAATTTTACTACAGAAAATAGAATGCACATTTTCCAACATTTGTTCACAATCCATAAAACGCAATTAGGTTACACAAACAATAATTGAGAATTACAATAATGTATACAAATACCACAAGTTTCAAACCACTGCGATTTACATATTTTTAATTTATATAACATAAAACAACACATTTAGGGTCCCATTAGAAAAGATTAACAGTGAAAACACAACTAATTTAACCGCAATTGAAATCAGATATAATCACTAGCTTACATTTTCACGAATACTAATAAAATATATAAATATATTTTAGCTATGTTAACTTAAAATATATTTTTTTTTAAATATCCACTTAGTAATTATCGTTAAACGAATTACCATAAATTAAAAATAAAGCCGTTTGACCTGTTCCTAAAACACAATGTTTATATCATGGTAAAATTTATGTCATATTATATTAGATATTTTCATCGTTGTTACACCTCGAAACGACGTCTTTTTTAATTATGAGATATTACTTTTATACAATTCGTACATTATTTAATAATGTTAAAATGTCAAAATCTATAAAAACATTGATGAATTATGGTTTAATGATTTTTCAGATTATAAAATCTAAAATCGCTTTTATGAAACAGACACAATGTATAGATTATATTGAAGATAGAAATAATAATAACTATTGTAATTAAAGTAATATAATAGTTCGCGGGTCGTTTACTTAAAATTTAATTTAAATTTAGCAACCTTTGTTCGGCTTAATAAAACCATTAATTTTTTGTGAATAATGACATTCAACAACCTATACAGAAACCACAAAAGAAATTCTAATTGAGTTTTCATAACTGTCGTTTATTTGTCGTTATTTAAACGCCATTGACTTTAGACAACACTGTAACGTTACTGCGTGATACGATATAATACTTACGGTAGTGAACTTTAATGACTTCCACTGATGAACTGAACTTAAAAAAATACACTTCGTCACTTAAGTGTGCAAAAGAAAAAATTATTAATTACCAAAAATCTAATAATTAAAGCTCTAAAAGTATACTTAAAACGTTAGTTAAACGCTAAAACAACGACACTGCATAGTACATATAGTTGTTATAGATACTTTTAATTTACTGTCAAGAAAGTCCTATTTATGTTATCTGGTTTTCAAATATTGTTCTTAAATGGTTTCCCGCTGAATAGTGAATTTTATCATTAACATTTGCTTATATCAAATATGTATATAATATGTTAGTATAAAATACAATATACTAACTATTTGATATCATTAATTTGTACAAATTTCTCACAATTGTATCTTTTATTATAGTTACCTCGCTAACTGCAATTAAATAGGATAAATAAAACTACCAAATTATCCCATCCCACCCCCAAAATTATGTTTCTAATTTAAACACCGGCTCATAATTAAAAGTATACAGGTATTAATGTGACGGGATAATGTCTTTTTTTAAACGTTTTTTTTTATCAATTCGTCCTTAATGTTTACTCTCAAATTTATTTAACGGTCAACTGTTTTCCGAATAGTACTTAAACGTGACGGTGACTGCAATCAATGCTGGTCACGTTTGTGGCTTGTAGCAAGCGGTCATGCAATTCAATACAATATATATTATATTATTCTCTACTACTGGCACTCTTTATAGCTAAATAAAAAAACCTCCCTAGTCGGTTTTTTTTTTAATAAATAGCTTTATTATTATCACAAATGCTATTGTTAGGTACAAGATTTTGGCTTTGTTAAAAAATGGCCAATATGCATAAAATTATTCGCAACTACCATCATGACATATTTTCATTGTACTTAAATACATATTTATCATCTTTTTAGACAAACTATTTATGTAAATGATCATGTGTAGTTTAAATTTTAATGACACTTTTTTTTGCTTGTCTTGATGATTTTTACATGACATCAAAATCAAAAACAAATTTGCCCTCTTTCATCTCGATAGACTTATAGTTTTTACATAATAAATTTGCGAATTTGTTATGGGTATACCAAATTCAACACAAATAAGAAGTTATTGAACATTTGGAATATGTATTCATATATTTTGGAAATATCCTAAAACATGACATACTTATCATACGTTAATATACATATAATCACTTTCCGAAAACTAGTCTAATAGTTCCAAATTTGTTTTAGTCATTCTTCAGATAAACCCCCAGCTAGAACACTTCTGAAAAAAAAACACCAACCCTTTTCCTCACGGAAGTTGTGAATTTTATATTTAATTTCGATCGTTTCGAGTAAAAATTCCGTAGCGTTTTAAATAAATAACACAATGCTTTGGACGTTTTATGGCGGGTTGCACGAACGTTCGCTAAAGGTTCAACGAATTTTTGCGGTCAATTTAAATATCAATTAGTTGCTAACTCATGATTGATGAGGCATTACGTGACAACGTAACAAATTGATCAATTTGATCCATTAAAGTTACAACAAAACAAATTTCGTGCAACATTTGTTTGCTGAAATTGCTATTATTTTGAAATTTGCCGTGGCTGCTATTTTTACCTGTAATACGGCCGGGAACCGCTATGGTGTGGTGGCAATGACGGCTGCGGCGGCGGTGGCGGATATTGTCGAGGCGATGTTTTTTAGGAAACCCGCAGAAACTTTGAAAAATATCCAAATCTTGTGCTTATCGTGCCGACCGTAGCGGCGACGACGATATTATCAACGTTGCAGCACTGCGATAACCGACACGCATTGCATAATGAGCATAACGTGTGTGTGTGTATAATAATAATTGTAATAAATAAGATGGTCGGTGATAGTTTTACACTATATAGTGGTATAATATGTAGTATTGTATGTACGGCTATACTAATATGATACGGCGTTGAACAGTGTGCCAGGTTAGGGTCGACGGACACGGCATGTACAAAATATAGTGCACGACTCTGCGAGGGTCCGGATTCGGGTGTGTGTTGGCCTTAAACGCGCGTGAGAAAGTCGAGCTTCCCCGTGACACACTGCCAAGTGCCAAGCGGCGGCCGCTGTTACCGGAGCGGTGGTTAACCTATCAGCGCGGTCTAACGTTGGCGATTGCACGCGACCCGCAAATCGCACTATACCGTCGCCGCCGGCCGCCTCTGTCTGTGAACAACGGTAATAATTATGAACACTATTATTATTGTTACAATTATTACCTATTATAGCCACGGTTATAGACACCGACGACGTGGCGATCGACAGCGAATTAAAAAATATCACAAAACAAAAAAAAAAAACAATAATTGATTCAGAAATATTATTTTCAAATCCAAGACAGCATCACAGAAAAACGACTATTTTTTGTCATACTTTCATTTTCTGCCATCGATTTTGACAGGTATAAACTTTTGTGTATGGTGTACGTGTTCGACAGACTACAAGGAATAAAACCATCAAAACTTCCGCTCAAATTAAGGAATAAGAAGAAAGTTATTCATTGATTTGTGCACAAGTGTCAAAATCCTATGTTAAATCACATTTAAACTTCAACCCTTGTGGGGCAAGAGTTAAAAGTAATATTTTTATTTCTTATTTTTATTGTATTAGAAAAACTTTTTGGAGTCGTCGAGGTTAAAAATCTACTTTTTAAGAACCACCCTTATATATATATATATATATATATATATATATATATAAATACAACCAAAATCTCAGGCTGGAAGGAGATTTAAAAATTCACAGTCATTTGATGTCTCTTAAGTTCAGGTTTTTGAAATGTAAAATATATATTGATTTAATAAAAATTGTTTTACCACTGTGATGGATTTCGATTATTAATTCGTATACTAGTTCAGTAAAATATGAAAACGGTTACACGGACAGCTTATTCGTTCAATACTTCAAACCCTAAAAAAGCAATCGTTATGTTAGTTTAGATTTTACACCATAAGTCTAAGAACTGCGCCCAAAAAAGTGAAAACGTAAATAGCCAATAGTCTGAGATAGAACTATTAGGTATCGACGATAAAATATATAAAGTCCATTGTTTCAGTGACTCCATGATATTTTTGCGGCCTTAAAATTCAATATTTTAAGCTCGGATCCAACATCAGAAGAGCCCAATGAAACAATAGCCACTATAGATTTCTACTAATACGGCTTACAAAGACCACCGACAAAGCCAAAATACATCAATCGCACTATATAAAATAAGCTGTTTCTTTTCATGTCTTTTACAATGTATTTTTCTTTTTTTTAACCTGAAAATTTAACAAAAACTTTGTTTTAGCAGAAGTCTAAAAAAATGATCTTATCACAACTTTCATGTAACCCATTCAAACACGAGTCTCGGTAGAGATTATATTAAGAGCAAGTGGCACCATGGGATCAATATGTATAGTACGATGGGTCTAATTATACTTTACCCGTATGATGAAGCCCACAGTTTCAATTGAAACTCGGGGGTCATAAAAAATAATTTTCCCTCTTATTGTAAAAGCAATTTAGCTACATTGTCTGTTTTGTTCATACAATACATACCAAAAAAAATGGTGTCACAAACGCTTCTGATTTTGCTGAACATTATATTATACAAAAGATTTACTGATTTTAAATATGGTTGATTTTAAAAAAGATAGATAAAAGGAGATAATATCATACAGTAATTGTATTTAATATAGTTTTCGATTAATTTTTTTCGGAATACCGGAATACCTAATTCGATTATTGTATGTTCTACGTACATTTTTTATCCTTACTTTATTATAGACATCATGTCCTTTACCGTCCTTTTTTTAAAATTATTTATTATAACTAAACCTTAGTGCTAAATTACACTTTTTTTGCGATTTTAAACAAGATAACTATTTACAAAACGTACAGTTCGTTTGGATAACAATACCTTTACCGTCAACTATCTTAAATACTAAAATAACTTGGGGAAGTAGTCCACATTCATACATATCCAAAACCAGAGTCTGAATTTTAAAATAAATTTGAATTTTTAAAAAAAATCCGGTAGATCTTTTACGTTTTAATTACAAAAACTAAAAGTTCTGCTAGAATTTTATTTTTACAAATAAAATAGAAAAATGTAGTAGAACAGTGTTTTAAAGGACTTTAAAGGTACGCCAAATGTTTTAAAGTAAGGCCCATGATAGGCGTGTTAATCATACAGTCCCGATAAAAAGACCAATCGTCTATCGCGTTCACAAATTCAAAGGCAATAGTACAACCTAGAATTGCAAATGCAAACCGACAGACAGCTACTGCCTACTTCTACTACTGTACTAGTCTTCGGCCAGAGGAAAGTGGTAAATTGCCATGGAGAAACGTGTGGGTGCCTTTAGGTCGGATATATAATATATATAAAGGGAAGACGATATCATCATCGAGTCGATGCGGTCGTTCGTATCTTTTGAAATGTAAATACTTGAATTCGACCCACGAGCCGTCATCTTTTGATCGCTCATTCTTCAGGTTCGCGTTGTATCCGCAATGCATTATAATATAAATATATCTTACACGTCTATAAAGTTCAAATACCGACCATGTACCGACACGAGTTTACTTTTTGTCTTATATAAACTACTATCGTCAAAGTAGCAACACTCAGAACACTATACGCTATGCACTAGGATTTGTTTAGGCTTACAAAAAATTGAAAGCTTTTGACCGGCTCGCGTCTATTTTGAACCCAAGTTTTGGCCCTAAAGTACTCTATATGTAATGAAACCAAATACATCATCCACGAAAACAATATAGGTAACTCGTATAGTTTAACAGAGAAAAAAGCCATCTGCAGTTAATGCAATTAAACATAAATGTTTATGTTCGTTTGATTTACTTATTACCTACGCATAGGTATATTGTAAATTAGTTTATTTTAAAGTTTTGCGTCTTGATAATATCGTTGTTTGAGTTGCCACAATATTATTTATCTTATATATTAAGCGAAGATTATGTCAGCGCCTTTTATATTTTGCAAACGTATGTGAACTTGGAACTCAATGCCCACGAGATTCAACCAAAATAATCTACACGACCGCAAATGTATTAGCTCTGTATTTGTTTTAATGATATGAACACATTTTAAAGTTTGAACACACCGATTAGGTATAGTTAATAATAACTCCAGTGATCCAGAATTCAATGTTGTACTCCATTTACCATTATAGTTCATGTACAGATTGTACATTTCCTCAACCTATTGTTTGAACAATTTTACGATAAATTAATCTAAGACTGAATAAAAATATGATTTTTCAAATTAAAATAAATTCGCCGACCTGTCGTTGACGCATTATTATTCTTACATAGTAAAAGCTGTTATCACGATTGATGCAAAACGTTTTGCATAACTTAATTACCTATCAGTTGGTTCAGCTCCGCGTGTCGAGTACAGAATTTTAAACAGTTACCCTCTCGGTAACGGGGTGGGTTGCCTCAAGATTAAAATGGACAACCTAAACAGTACACACTAAACATGCGGTAAGCTCAAAGAAAATACTATTATAATTAGTACATTCGTTGTTATACAATAAAATGTGTACTTAGGACAAAAATAATTAATGAGTACCTACTTGCATGCCCATTGTGGCCATCGTTCGCGGTTTTTGTAATTATTGTTGTAAACACACTAAAGGCATAGATATTCCTTAACGAGTTGCTTCGCATAAGAGCTAAAGAACAGAAGCAACTACAATAACCTAAACAAATTCAAAAACCGTCTACCATGTCTGTTAATCTGGACAGTTGATTGAAAAAATAAAAACACTCCTTTAAATTTTCCAAAATCTCAACATACCATAGTAATATTATATAAGTAGGCATACCTTGTTATCTGTCCGATGTTTATTTTCCCCTGGCCAAAGCCAAACACCTAAATAATTAGTTTATGAACACAGTCGCTTTGTTTGGAACAACCTAATACAGAAGAAGCCATTAGTTGTGTTAAGTAAATAAAAATGCAATAATAAAGTTTTTTCACTGTGATATAATTATTGCGTTATGCCGTTGTCCACTATAATATTAAATGTTCAACAATATAATGGCGGATGTTCCACGGTTTTCACACATACTATTGACTGGTTAAGCTACAAGGATTTATCACTATATTATTCATTTAAAAGCTGCTTTTATTTTGGCTTTCTATTCTTTTAGTGATACTGTTTAAAAATATAGGATCGAATAGCATGCATTACTAGAGTGCTTCTGAGTTAGAAATCAGTCAGAAAGCATTTTTATAAAGCTACATAACTCGATACTCAAAGTCTCCCCACTCGCAATTTTTGATTCTCGGTAAAACGTTTCTTCGAAAAACGTTTTTAATTCCCAACAGATCACGTTACCTATTTATGTAGCCTCATAGAATGTATATAAGTATTGGCTTTCCTACATATATTATGTCGTACAAAACGCGCATTTCGGTTAATTTTATTTATAAGTACTTAAATATTATATTTTCTACACTGTAAAACTAAAAAAAAAAATCGTTTGACTTTTTATGATAGAATAGTAAAACCTCGTAGGTCAATAAATTATTTACTTTTCCACTTTGACGTGGTGTTAAATAAGAAAACAGAATTCGGAGAACACCAAAACTCACTTTAGTTTGAAAGTTTACTACACTTAGAAGCTACACTTATTGTAGATTCTAGCACCCTGAAAACTCTATGTATATAAAACATACAAAATCAATAAAATCCACAAACAAAAGTCAGTTTAAGTTTACATACTTTGAAAATAGCAAAAACTAGCGTCTCTTACAATTAGTTAATTAACTGTTGGTTATTAATTTAAAAGTATTGATTTTTGCATAAAATCTAACAGCGACTACTGTTAAATCTACGTGACTCAAGTAAAACTAGTATTATATTTTAATTTTATTATTATTCTTTTTTTTTTAATTCGTACAGCAATGACAGTTCTTTATTGGTGGGTAACCAATTGTTTTACCAGATTATCACAACGACCACAGTAGCGCTTTTGAATATATTTCTTACCTAAACGTAGCTATGCAGAACT